CTGTACAAACCTTAATGTCGCAGCAACACGAGTTTCTGTTGATAAAGGCTCTCTGCGACTTTTCTTTTGCAGCTTTGGTTTTAAGAGATCATGTAAAATGTTAAATTGTTCCACTGACATTCTTATAAATTTAAAGAATTCTTCATGATCACTTAGTTTAAAATATCTGAATAATTTTGCATGGCCACCATAATTATCTCTAATATGTACAGAGATATGTGGCTTCACCCACCATCTCCTCCTCATTTTTCGACTTTTTTTAAACAATATAATTATTTTTTTAAAATATTCCCAAATTGTTAACAAATTGTAATAAATATCCATAGTTTTACCCATAACCTAACAACACTTATATCAACACGACTAAATGTAGAATAGATGTCGGATCAAGTTTCCGTTCTACGACATACGATGTACGATTGGCGTATACCGACAGCGACTACGGCAAATTGTGCAACAGGCCTAATTGAGACATACTGTCAAAATTTTGATCTTGAATTGTACGGCGTGATTCGCCCATAATTCTTGTTCTAATAATCTTGGTAAATTGAGATTCAGTTTCCGCAGGTAACATGGATTTCGCTTCCTCACATCCCTCAATAAAATATGTTAGTAGAATATTTTTATCATCAAAGAAAGGGACGGCTTCGACGGCGTATTTTAATGTAGCGAATGGATTTGGATTCGCCTTTATTTTATCTCTTTTTGTTTTAGGAGTACTTTTAATTTCTGTTGCCGGTTGTATTGTTGTATCTCCGGAAGCGTTGAAGACAAGGGTGTTAATTAAAGTTTCAAATAGATCTTGATCGGTCTCAGAGTCATCCAGCGAGAAGTCCATTTGCTTATGTGTAGTTTTAGAGGAGTGGATGTGTGGATTGTTATGTTATCGTGTTTTGACTTGCCGTGATTTTCTATAGCGGTTCTAAATATCGTTAATTTCACCTTTGTTAGATGTAGACCTCATATTCATATCTGCCCACAAAGATCGCACTTAAAATCCCGGACGAGCCACCAAATTTACTTAGTCTGTTACGTCCAAGCTTCGATAATGTGCGTGAATAAGTTTAGAGAAAGAAAAGGATAAGAAGGAAGAAGTATGAAAGGACGTTAGAACAGACGCTATGTCTCGCATGCATCCGCGGGAAAAGGATGGAGCGAGTCGAACGTACCTTTTATTGCTCTGGGGTGTGTTCCAAAACGCAACTTTGGTAACTGAAATCTATAGTTAACGTAACGTAAACTATAACTCTTTAATAACCAAAGTTACGTTTTAGAACGCACCCCTGGAATATGGGTCAACGTCCTGAAGGGACGCTATAACTCCTGTTTCCGACGAGCAGTGCAAACGTCGGTCCGAATTTAGAGTCAAGGAATTTAATCCTTATAACACGGGACCGGACCGTATGCGATCTCTGACGCGGGGTGGGAGTCGGTACGAGATCTTATAATTCTAGAATAAATGTAGATTGAGGAACATCATGTTCAACATATTCTATTTTATTGTTAACATTAAATCTTAGGTATATTAAAGAGGTATGACTAATGCCCATTTCTACCAATATGGATTAACTTTAATCTCGGTTCAACTTACTCTTCACCTTTTTTTTATTTTTAAAACTAGAAAAAGATGAAGAATTAGTTGAACCGAGATTAAAGTTAAACTGCATTCGTAGAAACAGGCATAAGCTAAACATTAGTATTTAAATTTATAATTAAAATCTACTATTTAAATCATGAAAATAAAATAATGTTACAAAGAACAAACATACGTCTGGACTACAATCGAGTTACTCTCAATGTTGCGATAAATATAATATCATAACAACCCATAAAAAATATAAAATTACGAAATTATACATCTATAACATAATTTTCCACGCATTCTTTATCTTGTGCAATACTGCGAGTCAACGTCTGTTGTAATTACACGTGCGTGCGTGTGTGTATGTTTAGGACTAAATTGTATTTATCTTATTTCCCTAATTGTACATGAGGAGGGGGGAAAGAAATTTAGGAAAAAGGCTACGGGGACTAGGAAAGAATGGGGGGAGTGAGGAAGGTAAACTGGTATAAGGGCTTCGGGTGGTTGGCCATTTATGGCGTTTCGGATGGTATCAGGATCTGCATTTACAAAATTGATGGTGAATGTGTTCGGGGGAAGGGGTTCGGTGGATATTCGAAATCGGGAAAAAAGGGAAGCTAGGGATTGAGGATTTCCATGATGGAAATAATAATGAGGACGAGGAGGGGAAAGTTCGTATAAGAGTTCCACGCTTGATATTGAATAAGCGGGAGAAACGGGACGAGGAGACGGAGGGACGGAGGAATCAGGAATCTGAGGCGGGGTGTCTGGGAAAATCCGCTTGGTTAGAGCGTCCAAGAAGGCGAGGTGAAAGAGTTCGAGGGGTAGGGGTTGCGACGGGATGAACAACTACAGGAGAGGAGAACCGAGGAGGACTTTCGACTGGATGACTGGTGTTATCTACTAAATTATCATTATTGCTATTGTTATCCACTAAATTATCATTATTGCTATCGTTATCTGCTAAATTATCGTTATCATTATTCCTATTGTTTACTAAACTAGCATTATCATTATTCTTGTTATTTATTAAATTAGAGTTTTCATTATTCCTGTTGTTTTCATTTATACCAGCGCAGAATTCTCTGTAGGCTTCTTCTAAGAGCCGACGGGCCTCTCTTATCCGTTGGGCGCGTAGCCATTTAGCTGCGCGGGAAGGGCGTGCGCGTGGTCGATCACTCACTACGATAATTAAATAACATGTTTTATTATCAGGCTCTACGTAAAAAAAAGGAAGGGAGATATAAAAGAATGAAGTTCGCTAATTAAGCGGACTTCCAAATAAGGGTTGTAGAGTTCATCGAAGAAATCGATGAATGTGGGAGGATAAGGATGACAGGTGAATTATGGAAGCAAAAACTGAGGGTGCAGAGACACTGAGGGGTTAATATTTCGGTAGAGAGTGATCTGGTTGGGTTCGCGACGTAAATAGTTAGAAGAAGTGACTTACTGTTGTTTAAAAGTTTCTGGACTTCGAAACTATTGCCGGTGGTCCAATCTTTGTGACTGTAGTATTTTCGTGCAGATTTGGACCCAAGGGGAGGGTTGACCCAACGATTATTAAGTGCCCTCAGCTAGATGTCTGGAGACTTTGGAAGAATCACTCGACACTATTCGTGAATAATATCGCTTGAAGGCTTGAATGGACTGATCGCGGCGATCTGGTCGCGGACCGGCGATAAGATTCAACTGATTTTGGTTTGACTAAATAACGGACCGGCAGAGGTTCGCCTAGGCAGGTAGTTTTAAAACTATGCTGCTGTTTGCGAAGGGCCTCCTTTTATATTCGCTAGTTAGTACCTGCAGGTCTAGTGTGTGGCATTAGGCTGATCTAGGATTAGGATTAAGGATATCGGTTATGGAATGACATACTGGGATATGTGTCTTAAACGATTTTTCGTCATTGACCATTTGCCGGATGTTCGATAATCATAGAGCCACACTTGTCAATCGGCATCACGTAGCTGCCGAAACTTCCTATGGTAGATACAGATGATCTACCGGTATTACTTGTTAATAACCCTTATGGTGATGACAAAAATTCTAAACGAAGAAAAGAACAGTGGAGTCTGGACGTAACAAATATTTATTAATAAATATTAATATATGTTAATATTATGAAGAAATATTATAAAATTATTGAAATATACATTTTTTTAAATAAAAAATAAATGAATAATTAGACTAATACTAATTATTACCCTTTTTAACTGTAAAGTGACAATTTTAAAATTTTGAAAAAAATATTAAGATATCAGAAGCGTAATTCCAAAGAAAATATGTAAGTGTACTGGAAAGATATTACGAAAAACGTCACGTTTGGAACACATTTTAATTTTTTTAACGTTAAAATCATTTTTGCTATTAATGGAAGGGTTATATGATTATTAAAATTTATTAAAATCGTTATCTAGAATGTGTGTGTCTCTTTATCCCTTATACAGGAATACGCCGAGCGGCCGAGAAAGTACATTTTCGGTTTTTGGTCGCTTGTAACAAGCGACTAGTAGAGGAAGCGAGACAGCGAGGAAGAGCGGCCGTCCATTTCGC